TTTACCAATCTTCCAAGTCCTTTTCTTTTCTCTTAGGATTCGCTTATTTTCTAGTCACCTCTTGACTAGGATCTAGCCTTTCCCAAAACAAACGGCTCCGGTATAATGATCCCGGAACGGGGACGTTACAGTGACCGTCTATTGTTTTTTTAAGAGAGTAATGAAAACCCTATAATTCACCACAAAATGGTTTATCTTTTTTATGCGTTCGAGTTCTAGATTTCAAGTCTTACTAATAATCTAAAATTTCTATAAACGGAAATAAAATGCCGACTGACAAATACAAACTAACACACACCAATTGAGACTAGCTAAATAAACACCAATCCCGAGCCAACGAGAAAAAGACCCGCAAACACCAACAATAATCTAAAGATGAAAAGGGGATTTGGATCTGAAAAAACAAAAAGAGGATGTTTAGCTATTGAAACAGCTTCGTCGACCCAAAGGTATACCAGAGCCTCTTTTCCGCGTCACAAACTTTCCGCGATAATACTGATACTCTATACCCTCAACTACCATTATCAAACCCTATTTGCGACAACCAAAGATTTAAACTGATAAACTAAAAAAAAATTAACAAAAAACCAAAGAGAGAGAGGACCATCAACAATGTTGGTAAAAGCGCTTGTTGCCAGTCAAATAATCGAGTTCAACTACTGCAATAGACAAAGAAAAATTAGAACTTTTGGTATTGTTTTTAATATAATTTTTGTTTAAAAATATCATACCTTAAGAAAGTATTTGTATAAATGAAAGGAGTTCATCCCTTTGAACAATCAATAATAAAAAGTTATGAAAAAATAGAATATTCTTATAACAAAAATGAAGGTTGGGAACAAAAAGTCTTTATTTAAGAATTTATGGTTTCCACATTGCTTTTTTGCATAGTAATTCCATGAATATTATCCTATTTTTCTCGGGATTACTTTCCAAAAAGTCTTGAACGTTTATCGATTGTCTTTTTGTTTCCATGTTTTAAATATGTTTTGCTATGGGCTCAAATCATAAATATAACAATTTATTTTTTTTTTGCTAAAATTTTTCAATTAAATATAACAATATGTTTCCACAAAC